GCATCCAGTCAGTGACTTGCAGCATTCACTCCTCCTGGATGAGCATGTAGACACAGTGGACAGTCACTGGCGTTGACTTTGCAGCACTTAGACCCACTTCTTCCCATTATGTATGTAAACCTATTAAAGCCAAGTGTGGTCGGATCAGAACCACAGGCAGAAGTTTATATAGAAAGTGACAAGTCATTTGAAACTGAGCTTGGAAACGTCAGACCAACAGGTTCAGGATCAGGAATTTCTGCTGACATCAGCTGGACTGTTGAGGTCATGATGGCATCCAGACGTTATCAGCTCTGAGGCGCTCAGATAAGAGGGACCCTCGTTCCTCACAGGTTAAAGTCCTGCAAACCGGACTGTGGACCCACTGAGCTGCTGAGGTTCTGAAGAAGGGGTGAGTTCCTGCTCCTACCTGCTTTCAGCTGCTGGTTTTAATGGTTTCTTCGGCTGGTTTGAGACCCTGTCCCTGTTTATGTCCAGTCATGTTAGTTTCTCTCAGATTTCTGCTGTTTGGACTCAGCAGGGCAGCTGAAGATGAAGGTCCTGAAGTACCAGGGTCTACTGACAGGTTGCTGGATCACAAGCTGGCTGGTGTCGGATCAGATATTAACAAGAACTACATGCAGAGATGAAAAGGTGCTCAGGGCAGATCTGTGAGCCAGCAGAATTATTTTTAGACAGCTGCAGAACTTTGACTCCGAGCCGGCTCTGATCCATCATCCTCTCACAGTTTGATTTCAAATGTGTTTTTTTGTTGTTTTCAGCTTCATTTGCTTCATGACCTCGATGAAGGAGTCTAAAAATAGAACCACCTCCTCTCCTCCTTCAGGAGCAGATCCATTTTTAGCTTTCTATTTTCCCTCCTCACACCGGGTCTAATTTAGCTCTCTTTGTGGCTGCTTGTTGAGGAAGGGACAGATCTGGGACGCAGAGCGTTTGAAGACAATCTGAAGGTTGGAGTAGGAGCTCTGACTGAGCAGGACGTCCCTGATGAATCCAGCTGATGTTTCATGTTCCTGTTCTGAGAGAGGCGGCTTGTCTCTCAGCTTTCGGTCTGAAAAGATGTTTTTCTGTCTGTTCCAGGAGCTCAGAGAGTAGAAGAAGAAGGAAGCTGCAGAGGAACTCACTGCTCTCTGTTCTTCCTCTGCAGAACCTCAACTGGACCTGTGTTCTGTGGCCTTTGTGATCCCAGCAAATCGCTGCAGCTATGACTCTTCCAACCGACCTTCGACCTTTGCCCGGGCTGCTCGTCTCCGCCGTCGCTCTCGTGATGGTGTTGATGACACTTCCTGCTTCGGCTCTGGGACCAGAGACGTGTTTCTCCAGGCAGCATCAGGGCACCGCCGTTATCGTCAGACAGGCTCTGAACAGACAGGCGGCGGCCATGATCAACCAGACGGTCAACTCAGAGAGGGAGTGTGTCATAGCCTGCTGCTCCAAGGAGGTCCTCACAGGTGACCAACACATCCCAGGTAATCGGCTCCGTGTTGATACAACATTGGTTTGTCAGTTGACTGTAGAGGTGTTTTCATGCTTGAAAGCTTTAAAGGTGAGTCTTATTTTACTGAAATTGATCAGAGCGAACAAATGGAACGAACCTAAATTTAAAAAGACCCAGTCCAAAGAAAAGACCTACAGGAAGCCCAGAGACCTGTTCAGACTGCTTTAAGTGGATTCTGATAACAGTCGGGAAACAGTTCAAAATAAGGATTGTGTTCAGAATCATGAATGAGTTCGGAATCTGAGATTTGTTCAGAGCAGACATTGTGACTCGAGTTTCTGACTTGGACTGGAGTTGCACTAGAAGTAAAGTTGTTATCAGCGATAGTTCCCTCACCTGTGGTAGAAGGATGTCGTGTCCCAGTGGGGACAGTCACAGGTGGTGGAAGCTAACAGCTATCAGACATAGCTTCATCAGTCCGCCTCATCAGCTGATCCTGAGTCCAACAACAGGAGGAAGATACCGTCCGTTAGCTTCCACCACTCTGAGGAGTTATATACTCTCCAACAATGACATCGTTCTGCTAGATGTAAGGGAACCGTTATTGATTATACCCACACACAGACTCACTTCACAAAATACAAACTAACCCTTTAATAGCCCTTTAATAACAAAGACTTGAGACTTGACTTGGACTTGTTGTCTGAGACTTGAGTCTACCTAAGAATCGTTAAAAGCAGGTCTGCATGTTGCTTCAGACAGCTGCTCTCACAGTTTTACTGTGAAAGGATTGACTTGATGTATTAGCCAGTGAAGGGCTGATTCTGGGCTGTTATTGGCTCATTACAATCTGTTCATGTTACCTGTTGCTTCATAACGATGACCACACTGATCTCTCTCCAACAGAACACAGTATGGAATGACTTTGGATCATTTCACAACCACATAAAGTGAATTTAGCTTGGACATCTTATTCTCTGCCTCCTTAGAAAAACACTTCCTGCTTCTAAGTTCCTCATCAGCTGTCATTGAAAGTGGTCTGGTACCATGACTGGACCGAGACTGAGAGGACAAGCAGCCAAACAGCTCAACAAAACAAAAAAGTGCTACATATGCTGTTAGTTTATGGTCCATCATTATGTTTGTGCGCTTGTTTAATTTCTACCTGAACATTTCAGCATGATTTGATCTCCGGTCAGGTGGTGAAGAGTTTAGGGTGTGATTGGATAACGTGACTAAAAAAGAGGTGACCTTTGTTTTTCTGAAGGTGCTCGGTGCAACATGGCCGTGTTCAAAGGCAACAAGCATTCTGCTGAACACAACTGTCTCCTCTTCCACTGTCCCACTGAGTTGGACTGTCCTCTGATGAAAGCTCCTGAGGGCAGCAACACCTATGACATCTACAAAGGTGAAGCAGACCCACTGCTCTCTGTTTCCTGCAACATGTACTTCATGATTTTGCAGATGGTTTCAGTTGGTCCTGCTTAAAAAGGTCCACGGTAATGCTGTGAAGTTTAACTCTGCTCCCCTCTTGTGGCCAAAATGTCATAACTCCTCTTTTTTTTCTCTCCTGCACAGGTTTAAGTCATCCACCCACACTAAGACCTGTCACCATGACAACCACTATACAGACTACCACAACCACATCACGACCAACTACACCAACAACCACCCAAACCACCACCACAGCTCAGGCACTGCCCTCCCCCACAGAACCTCCACCACCCTTCATCATCATTGCCACAGTGCCTGTAGGTATTCCACCAACCACCACCACTACTAAAACCCCAACAACCACCACCATGGGACCTTCTGCTACCTTCACCTCGAGAAAACCCAACAAAACCAGCAAGAAGCAAAACAAAACCATCAAGAAAGGAAAATCTCATCCATCCATCACCACCACCACCACCCAAACAGCTCCGAGCTCCACGACATCACTTCCTGCTGAAACAGCAAGAAAAGAGGTGGAGCATAAAAATACTAGCATTCCAGAAACAACAACTGCAGCTCCAACCTTCAAGACCACCAGTACAACCACTACAGCGTCCGCTACTACAACCACCATCCCCATGTCTAGCACCACTCTTCCTACAACCACCATCACAACCACCACAAGTCCAACTACAACCACCACCATCACTACAACCACCACGACTACCACTCAATGTACCACCAGCACCTCCACCACCGAACCAACCACCACAGTAATGGCTCAACCCCCGAGTCTGATCTTCATTCCAAAAGACCCCATTCAATCAGATCCGGACATCCAGCCTGGTCACACCCACCTGAACTCCAGCTCCAGCCAGGGGAAAGTGGTGGTGGCAGCACAGGGGGCCCTGAAGGGTGGTGTGGTGACCTTCATGGTGCTGGGACTGGCCGTACTCACACTGGCCCTGGCTGTGGGCGGCCGGAAGGCCATGGAGTCCTTCGACCGGCGACATTACACCAGACTGGAGCTGAACGACCTGCACTATGAGATTTAAGTAGGGAAATCATCATGTCTGCTTTATTTAAGGTTGTTTAAGTTCTTAGATGCACAACTCTGGATTGTCTGCTCATGCTTTGTTTACAAGGCAGCGGAGAATCCTGCTCTGTGATTGGTTAGACTCGGTTTGTTTACTTTTACAGTTCTCTTGAAACAGTTTGTGGAGCACTATTCACTTGTTTGTTTAAATTAGGTACCACCCACCCTACCTGATAAAAGTAACACGCACAGATTGTAATCATTACAAAGAATTTCATTGGACTCAGAGTTAGTCCCCGCCCCCTGAGTACAGGAAGTGTTTTCAGATTCCAGCAGGAAGGGACGCAGAAAATCTGTTCAGTGATTTTTAAGGATTTAAAAGATGAAGTTTACTGATGAGTTGGATCAGATCTGCTTTAATGGGGAGTTTAAACAGGAACAAGCAATGCTTTTATCTCTGATTAGTTTATTGATCTGACCTGTGCAGTTCTAATAACCAACATAAGGTGTTGTCTTTTTCTCTGTCCATTCAGTTTTTTTACTTTTATGGTCTTTCCAGAGTTCCTTTACATCATTAATGTTAAACTGGAAATATTTAAATTTCTGAACAAAGTACCTTAAAATAATGTTTTTAAATTTATGTAAAAATATTTGTTAATTTCTGACAAGGAACCAAAACTGTGAAAAGACCTATTTTACTTTATTTTGGTGATTTAAAGGAATCTTAAGCAAACTGAGACCATTTTTATAATTTATTGATAATAAATTCCCTGATAAAACTAGTTCAGCTTCCAGAGAGAATGGATGGGGATGGAAATGGTTTGCTGTTGGTTTGCTGGCACATTTAGCCACCAGGGGGCGCATGTGAGTGGGTGGGCTTACAGATGATCCAACGAGCCAATGCTTTAACCATTGGTAGGTAGGTATTTCAAGTTATTTTTTAACCATCCTTGTGACTGCTGCAACTACAACAAAGATTAGGAGTATATTGAGGTATCGGGATTAAAAATAGTGTGACATGTTAGTGGCTTTTATGTATCAGTAGCTGAACAGGAAGTAGGACAAAGAGAGAAGGGGAAGACATGTAGTAAATGGCTCAGTGGTGGGAATCGAACCCAGGACAGCTGCATGAGGATTGTAGCCTCAGCATATGGTGTGCCTGGTCTACCACTGAGCCACACGATGCCCGACTATTAAGTATCTGCTTTGACTCCACATATGAAGCTTGACTTCCTGTACATATGTTTGAGACTCTTATTTTGAAGTAAGAAAGGAAGTAGATCTGGAGTTGGCCTGTTGAGTTGATGGAGTCAACTCACAAGAGCAGTAAAGACTCGACCTGTCAGGAGGATCATCAACTCTTTCTGAACACTGAGAATACTGGCTAACTGTTAGCTGCTAACAGTGCTAAAGTTAGTTTCTAACAGCGCTAAAATTAGCCGCTAACAGTGCTAAAGTTATCTTCTTAGTCCTAAAGTTAGCTGCTAACAGTGCTAAAGTTAGCTGCTAACAGGGCTAAAGTTAGCTGCTAACAGGGCTAAAGTTAGCTGCTAACAGCGCTAAAGTTAGCCGCTTGCAGCGCTAAAATTAGCTGCTAACCGTGGTAAAGTTAGCTGCTAACAGCGCTAAAGTTAGCCGCTTGCAGCGCTAAAATTAGCTGCTAACCGTGGTAAAGTTATCTGCTTAGTCCTAAAGTTAGCTGCTCACAGCGCTAAAGTTAGCTGCTCACAGCGCTAAAGTTAGCTGCTAACAGTGCTAAAGTTAGCTCAATTCAATTCAAAGATACTTTATTGATCCCCGAGGGGAAATTAGAATTCCTGCTAACAGGGCTGAAGTTAGCTGCTAAAGGTGCTAAAGTTAGCTGCTGAAAGCGCTAAAATTAGCCGCTAACAGTGCTAAAGTTATCTGCTTAGTCCTAAAGTTAGCTGCTTACAGCGCTAAAGTTAGCTGCTAACAGTGCTAAAGTTAGCTGCTAACAGGGCTAAAGTTAGCTGCTAACAGGGCTAAAGTTAGCTGCTAAAGGTGCTAAAGTTAGCTGCTGAAAGCGCTAAAATTAGCTGCTAACAGTGCTAAAGTTAGCTGCTAACAGCGCTAAAGTTAGCCGCTTGCAGCGCTAAAATTAGCTGCTAACCGTGGTAAAGTTATCTGCTTAGTCCTAAAGTTAGCTGCTCACAGCGCTAAAGTTAGCTGCTCACAGCGCTAAAGTTAGCTGCTAACAGTGCTAGAGTTAGCTCAATTCAATTCAAAGATACTTTATTGATCCCCGAGGGGAAATTAGAATTCCTGCTAACAGGGCTGAAGTTAGCTGTTAAAGGTGCTAAAGTTAGCTGCTGAAAGCGCTAAAATTAGCTGCTTACAGTGCTAAAGTTATCTGCTTAGTCCTAAAGTTAGCTGCTAACAGCGCTAAAGTTAGCTGCTAACAGGGCTAAAGTTAGCTGCTAACAGGCTAAAGTTAGCTGCTAATGGTGCTCAAGTTTGCTTCTGAAAGTGCTAAAATTAGCTCCTTACAGTGCTAAAGTTAGCTGTTAACAGACCTAAAGTTAGCATCTGCCTTAGAGTTTCTTGGTGCTGCTAGTTTACTGTTTTTTGTTTTTTTTTCCAATCTGGACTGGATTTGATCAAATCTGACTGAAAACCTGAAATACTCAAACTAATTAAACCTGAACTGGATAATGATACACAGAACAGAGATCCAAACTAAGTTTAGGATTTCTAAAACTTTTATTCTTCATGAGAAAACACAAAGGAATTAGGGTGCAGCAGTGACACTGGGTAAAGTGCGTGATTTATGTACAGACACTACTGTCCTGGATGCAGCCGTCACGGGTTTGTGTCCCGGGCCATTGACCTTTGCTGCAGGTCCTTCTGTTTCTCTCTTTACCCCATTTCCTATTGGTCAACTTACAAATAAAGACCACTATTGCCCCCCCCAAAAAAAAAACAAGGAATCAGAAATGCATAAAAGCCAGAACACATGGACGGGTCAAACCTGGGTTGGATTTTTCTACACTGATTACAGGCCGGTGGTTTGTGAAACATTTACTCTGTTTAGTTAGATTTGTTGGTCATGGAAGTTAACTCGTGAGAACGTTTGAACATCTCCAACAGTAACTGCAAGCAGAACCGAGTTGACAAGTTAACATGTTTGTTTTTTTCTGACTAGTTACCTAAATAAACAGTAACTATCATACAACTAGTTAAGACTTTTGAATTACTAGTGAAGCACTTTGACTGATTTGAACCAAAAGTTTCAGCACTTTGTAAAAAAGCATCCAAACAATCTAACATAGTTCAAGACGAAAATCACACCCATTATTAAGGTTGTAGAATGTATACATAAATCACTTGCCATACTGGACAACACCCACACACCCTGTCGATGGTATCTGTATTTATACGGGCCAGGCAGAGCTCATGGGGTTCTGTGATGATCAGTTACTTTTGTAAGACCTTAACCCTTGACAGGATGCCAGTCCATCACAGGCACATGGAGGACAGACAGCCATGCACACACATCTACACTACACTTGGATTATATAGATTAAGATAACATGCATGTTTTTGGACTGTGAGAGACGACCTGGGAACCTGAAGAGAACCCACACATGCTTGCAAAGAAATGTACAAATTCCACAAGAGCCCACAAGACCCCAGGTAGGATTCGAACCCAAACCTTCTTGCTGTAAGGGAATAGTGCTAACAGCTGGACCACCATGCAGCTCTTAGATGTTCCAGCTCCTTATAAACAAAATCATTTCCAACCCCTTCACTGATCTGTACCTGCAGAGTGTTCCTTCAGACAGCTGAACTGTTGTCAGCGAGTGGATTGCTGATCTGCCCAGTTTGTAGGATTTGTTCCTAATAATAAATATTAACATTATATTAGTTGGAGCTAGTTTAGTGAGGTTCTTTAAGTTGTTTCTGGACACATGTTGAGATCTGAAGGTGTGTTACTTTCACAAACAGGAGAAACCAACATGCAGCAGTGAAGGTGTGCAGTCCAACATCTTCAGCTGTCTGAGACTCTCCTTTACATCACCTAGTTGGAGGAAAGCTCTGAGTTGAGTTGTGTTCTGTGAGAGCAGCACATCTCCTTCAGTGTTTCACCACTTTGGCTCTATGATGGATTTATGGTCCAGTTTTGATTTTACTGTAAATGTTCATGCTGAATTGCTTTGCAGCTTCACCCTCAAAAATGATTTAGACTTTTGGATGTGAACCTGCCCATGACCTCCAGATTCCTTCATGAATGACTGAGAAGGAAGACCAGACAGCAATACATTTACTCATCGACACTCAGGAAACTTCTCTTGTGGAGAACCCTGATGGAGATCAGAACTCACCGTGCACGCTCCTGCATGTCCTTTCCAGCCGCCTGGGCCTGTGGTGACCTCTGAACCCACAGGCTCACTGTAGATGTCACAATCACCATGTGTTTTTGTATTTTCACCACACAAGGATTCCAACCTTGGATGCAATCCTTTATAAACTGATGCACTATTGTATTGTGAGTTTTTGATAACTATGATCAGCTTCTTTAAAGATATCTGATTGATTTTCATAGCTCAGAGGACACTGGCACCGCACTATTTTCTTATAATAAAGGCATTTGTATTGGATGTGTGTTTTAGACCGCAGACAGGCTGCTGCTGCGGCACCTCTCCAGCAGGTGGCAGCAGCCTGATAACTTTCAGTTTTACTCTTAATTACTGACATGGATGGAGATAGTTTGGTGCCGTTTTGTCAAGTGATGCTTTCACATAACTTTGGAATTTAAAGTTTTGTTGTAAAGATTAAAAAAGTTGTGATTTTTGACTTTATTCTCCGTTTTTTTTTCTACAAACTGAACTAGGTCTGTATGATAGATAGATAGATAGATAGATAGATAGATAGATAGATAGATAGATAGATAGATAGATAGATAGATAGATAGATAGATAGATAGATAGATAGATAGATAGATAGATAGATAGATAGATAGATGCTGGCCGCCAGTTGGCTCTTTGTTTTTTTCTGCTCCATGTTTTAGGGCCCCATGTGTTTTTGGCCCCTGTGTTTCCAGAGCCCGTTGAAGAGGTAAAATAGTCCCTCCTGGATGTTCCAACCGGATGCTGAGGTTTTTGTGGTTCTGGGTTGTTTGCGGTGTTTCTGCTTGCGGCAGTGCGCAGACAGTGTGCGGCAGAACAACAATAGAAAGCGGAGCTGAGGAGGAGGAGGGGCTCTAGTACCACCAGCAGCACCAGTACAGCACCAGATTCTGCCAGCGGAAGGACACCGAGGATCCTGCGGGACGGTATGAGACGGTGGATCGGACTCAGAAGCGAACAGAACTCCGTGATGGAAGCTGGGACGATCCGAGCTTGATCGGAACCGAACCTGAGCGTGTTTTTGTTGAGAGGAAGCGGCCGCAGCCATAATGGGAATGCTGGGAATCCTGCGCTGAGGATCCGCGGCGGCTGGGCCCAGGATCGGGAGAAAGATGGGAATTTGTTTTCGGATCCTGCTATTGTTTGGTTCCTGCTGGATCATCTCAGGTGAGGTTCTGGTTTTTGGTGTTCTTGGTGTTTGGAGCGGGATGGTTCCATCTGGATTCGGGTTTTATGTTTGGAGTTCCAGGCCGTGCTAACGTTAGCTTCCAGCTAACAGTCTGTTTGTTCTGGAAGAGACTTTTCCTGGGAATTCTGCTTATAAATCCAGCTTCAAGTCCCGGTTCTAGGCTGGATGTTGGGTCTGGCACAGTTTCTAGTTGATTTTGGATGTTTGGGTTGATTATCTGGAGCTGAGAGGGAATCTGGGAAACAACAACAGGAGCTATGGAAGCTAGTTAGCAGCCGAGCTAACAGGTTGGAGCTGCTAACTGACAAACTAATTAGCTGGCTGATCCTGATCCAAACAGGACATCACATTTTTCCTGGTTAAAATCAGTTTTCCAGGTTATTCCCAGTGGGGTCAGGCAGCAGAGCCACCATAATACTTCTTTAAAATTCGTCCGGTAACAGACAGACTTCACGCGTCCATGGAAAACACGGAGCTGAAGTCTCCCTCCAGCTCCTGGTGGTTTCCATCCCGTTAGGGATATTTATCATTAATGTGGAGAAATCATAAAGGAAATGCAGGAAAAGAGCTGGAAGAAGGGAATTTCAGGAGGCTTTTCATGTACAGCTGATTTATGGAATAAGTTCCTAAA